ATAGATAGATAGATAGATAGATAGATAGATAGATAGATAGATAGATAAGATGAAACGGGGAAAGAAGGAAAGAGGAACTAAAAGGAACGAGTATTTTCTTGTCTGGGAGTTAGATAATTACATTTTATCTTAAATATTTCTTTTAATTGTTGCCAACTGATTTAAAATAAGTAAACAGCCATCAAGTTTTGAATTTCCCAGCAATTTCTATTTTGATATTAGTGTAAAAATGCCACCACATATTATAAAATAGTTTTCACAGATAAACCTTAACTTTTCACCTCTAGTAGTTCTTGATCTGCACTGTGTGACTCTTAAGAATTGTTTGATTCCATTTGTGGCTTTTATGCGTTTTCCAATCGTGCCAAATGTGTTGGGGGGAAAGAAACACATGCTTATGGAAATACAACCTCCCCCTCCAACATGCCCATTTTTAAAATCATTCTGCATATGCATACATGATTTAGTGTAACTGCAGAATCACCCCATACTGTTAAAGGGAATGTGATATTAACAAATGTTTGCAGTCTCTTGTACAGCTGTAAGCAAAATAATTAACTAATTAAACTAATTAAATGTAATTACAATAACTCATTTTGGGCGTGTTGCAGCTGCTTAATTTTTTTACAATTCTCTGACAGTCACTTGAAGATGCATGGCGATTAGTATGGGTTATGCTGATAGACATTAAACAGCTCTCACACTGCACATTTAGGGAGAGCTATCTTTAATTATCCAAGGAATTTCTATTTCTAGATTCAGTTTTAAATACTAGAGCTGACGCTTAGCAATGCTGGCCCTTATGTTTACTATCAACAGCACTTATCTTCAGTGGTTTATTCATCTAATGCATATGAAACCGATACTTTAATAGGGATGAGTTTCTAGATTATTAAGAAAAGAACGTAAGGGTGTTGATGGAATAAGAATTCAAGGCAGGGTGAGGTATTTCAATCGTTGGTTTCCTTTAAAAATGTAATTATGTAAATTCGAGCAATCATAATTTTGGGGAAAGGTGGATGAAAACCTGAAGCTCTTTTGACAACATAATTTATGTCCGGGGGTGGAAAAACGTAGGGTTTTGTGGGAAACAGTGAATTGTCTTACTTTAAGAAAAAGAACTGCTCTGCGCTTTTCAGTTCGCATGGATTACCAGCCTATGTGTTTAGGTGTGTGACATATCGGTTTGCGAATGTATGCTCTCTCTCTATCCATCTATCTCTTTCTCTCTAGCTCATACGCAATGTTTTCTCTTGGGTCTTCTTGATTAATTGGCAGTTGATTTGTGGCTGAGAGCCTTCTTTTTAACGTTGATCTGCCTTCGTATTTTCGTTGCTCGTACGCACATTTTGCGTTTTGTTATGTACAGAACATTGCCATGTATTGTATGTGAACACTTCGTCAAAACAGTCTATTTTTTTTTCAAAATGAAAAGGGTAGCAGGAACATTTGGTGTCAATACACAGTGATTGTGGCTATAAAGGTAGTCAGTGTCAAGCAGTTAAGCACGTCTAGTGATACTTACAATTATATATATATATATATTGAGAGAGAGAGAGAGATCAGAAGATGCTAATAATTCTAGTATGCATGTGAATGTGTGCACACATCTGAATATACCAACACCCACAGGTGTATGCTTAACCTTAGTCTATATCAGAAGACACTTAGAATTATAATATCTATATTTAAAAGTATACATACGCACTTTTAAAATCATATCAGTAAAAAAGATACCGACATTTTCTTGTAGATGTGTTAAAAGGCGTAGGAATGTTATTTCCCCCCTTAGAATTAATGCTGTGCTTTATTGGACTTTTAGTCTAATTTTGTGAGTTTCGTTTTTCTTTGAACACTGGTAGAAGGGAAGAGACACATGGGGTTATATCTGTGGCTGACGATATTGGATCAGACCGATAGAAGGTGCAAAATAGAAAGGGTTCAGTATGAATTTTGCTGTGGTCTCAACACTTTGCAGCCATAGGAATGTACTTTGAAATAAGAATAAGTTATCAAAGACCCGCAGATCATTCTTGCTGGCAAATGATAGATAGACAGATAGATTTTCTTCTTGACTATTACCAGTAAAGTACACTTAATGATAAATGGAATCTGGACAGGAGGAGGGTTGAGAGATTTGCCTGTTTCAAAAGTGGCTAGTTTACTGTTTAAAACGTTCTCATAACATGTAGTGTGAAAGATAGGATATAGAACTAAATTATTAACACAAATATCTCATCCATCCTCTCGGATATAAGTGCCTACATTTTTATGATCTTTGAGTGTCATGGAGGTAATGATGATCATCTATCTATCTATCTATCTATCTATCGCTTCAGAAAACTTGCCTAAAATTTGAAGAAACCCTTGTAAAAATATTATAATCATCATCATCATCATCTTGAATTGTTCAATTTATCATCCGTGTTGATCCCACACAATAGATTATATACACACACACTCTCTTGTTATGTTTGCTATCTGGGCTTACTTGACATTTCTGAAGTAATTTAGTTAAGAGTAAATGAGTTGTTCCCAGTAGAGAGAGCAAACGAGTGGAGTGAAGGTAGCCAGCGTGATAAATGGCTCTTTCATTTGGAGATCTCCAGAGCTCGTTTAAGGCTAATTTTCTGTATTAGCCCCCTTTGAGCTATTAATGCAATAGGCAGGGACCGTGGCCCCTCGTCTCTTAGCTGCCCCATTAGAGAGCGCATTAAGCTGCCAAGCCTCTACTCTACTGTGGTGGTGGTGGTAGTGGTGGCGAAATAATGAAAGGTGCTTTTTAAACTCTCCTAATCTAAACTGGCAGAGGGTGGCTAATACGATTTGAAGGGGTCTGGTCAATGAGCAATCAATAAAGTAATAATGAGAAGGATGCGGTACATTAAGAGTCTAAAAATCCAACAAGACATTAAAAAATCATTCTTAACTCTTAGTTCCATTAAGATTGGCGTGGTGGAAAGGAAAGGAAAGGAAAGGGAGGAAGCCTAGATAAATGACTATGATGATGATGATCATCAAGAGTATTAATATTAGATTTCTCTCAGGTTTAAGGAGTTATCAGCTACATATTATCTGGGTTTATCCCCACATTCTCTGTCACCCAGGTTCCTGCTGAAATCAAGGGGAGGTTTTCGGTGTGTAAAGAAGGCCGTAGCGGATCCCCTTGTCAGCAGCTCAGCTGTAATTTGTTTGGCATGATCTATGACAAAAAAAGTTGTCCTCTTTCAAAATCTCGCGTGGCCTGAGTCCAAAGTTCAATTGTTGTGACTTTGGGGACATAGTCAGTGACCTTAAAAGTATCCTGATTTATTTACTTTAAACTATTTCTAGACATTGTCTGTGTACACACACACACACACACACACACACACACACACACACACAGTAGCACCAAACTCTATTTTAAACTTAATATGTTAACATAGTACAAATAAGCTCTAATCCCCTCCCCCCCCCCCCAAGAATCACACAAAAGGAACCTCTTAACACTTTTAAAAAGTCACTCCCTCAATAGAACAGGATAAGATTTTTTTTTCTCTCCCGCTTCCTGAAGTGGCCAGCAATAAATGATTAACTAAAAACCACGATATTTGGTTACAGCTTTTCAGGTGATCGAGCTGCGAATCGGTTGAAATGTAATGTACAGAATTTGCCTAGCTTTATTTATTTATTTTTGGTTCTTTTCCTGGAACACCAACTGTATTTTATTATCGCTTTTACTTTAATGGGAAACAATTTCGGGGTAATAGATTTCACTCTTAAATTAACTCCTAGCTTCAAATGCAAGGAGTGGTGGTGGACTCGAACTCTTGCAATCAGCTCATGAATACCCGACAGATAGATTTTTAAAATAAGGATCGAGGCTCAGTGTCAGGGGGTAGTATATATTCTCGGGTTTCTAGGTTTACCTACAAAGCCAAACCAAATCTCCCACTACCAAATCATTGATTGTTCTGATGGACATACACCTTTCTAATGAAGGCTAATTCCAAATCCAGTTAATACTTATAGAGATCTATAGACCAAAAAATTGATATTATACTATTATTATTTGCCCAGTGCAGATGATTAACCACCAATATTTCTTTAAACCATGTTTTTGTCTCGCAGTATAACGAGGGTGCTGGAATAATGTCGAGTACTTAAATCCCATTTATTAATTTAATCCGTGTGTGTGTGAAATGCTACTTTTGCATTGCCACGCAGTTATGTAGAGCAACCCAACAGAGAAATGAAAAAAGACTGAGCCTTAATGTATGCACAGAAAATTGTAAACATGTAAAGAACTGAAAGCTTCACGCTGAGGTTTGCCATGCTCCATTTCCTTACCATTTCCTGCTGTCGTTTTAAAGCGCTCTCACTCATCTAGAGATTCCGTTTGCAGGAACAGTATGCTCATAATTACTAACAAATCAAGCGGCTACTGTTGCTCTCTCGGTTTATTGATAAGCTGAAGAGAAATGGAAGGGAAAATGACAATGAGGCCGAAAGGACCAGGAGAATCACATTTTTTTTCAAAGGTGGAGGGGAGGTTTTGAGGGACAATGGGAAAGGAGACACGCACAAAAGAGTTTGGGAGAAAAAAATTTGTGAAAGTGACAACAAGATCAGCATAAATTGGACAAAGCAAAACATGCAAGAAGTAGGCAGAAACTTGTGTGTGTGTGTGCTGTGTCCTTCTATGGACAATTATTATGAGGCATAAAACCAGATTTGGAAAACACAGATGTAGGTAAAAATACGCCAGGGAATATAGTGTATAATTGTTTAAATAAATGCATTAGCAGACATTTTACACACAGCCTCTAAAATCTCAAAATTATATTATCTCTGGTAATAGTTCTAATATCTTTGTAATGATAGAGATAGATAATTAATCCATTCCATGGTAAACTCACTTTTTTAGGAGTGGCAGGTAATTTACAAAAGATAGAGTATAGATTAGAATACATATCTCTGAAGCTATGAAATCGCAATAGATATGCTTGCATAGGCTTGTAAGATTCCTAAATGTGTTTAGAATTATTATACTCAAGTGATCTTGATGTATACCTAGTCCCTTTTGTATAGTTATGGTAAAGAACAATCGCAGAAGTTTGCACAGCATAGCAGAAAAGAGGACTAACTTGCTTATCAAAATAAATTTGCATGAAAAAAATATTGAACATATTAAATCCATTTTTCAAAGGTTAACTAATGTAACAAATGCTCCAAAAAGGGCAAAGCAAATTGGGAGAGATATGTTTAAACATATCATGTGTTCAGCTCTCTCTGTTGTGAGTTTAGACGAAGATCAAATTTTCTTAGGACTGTTGTCTCTTGTTTAATTTCTCAGTTCACTGGACAGTGACCTGATAAACTAGTCACTAAATATAGGTACTGGAAAGGTGTATCAAAACCTTTGTGTTTGTTTGTTGGCGTGGAGAAAATTGCAAAGTGAAATGATCTCAGTTGTTAGTGGTCCTTTAAAGGATTAGTGATTTCACAGCGTGTGTATGTTCATTTATTTTCAAAACAACTCGATTGTGTCTTGATGGGGGCACTTGAGTGACTCTGCAAAACATCTTACTGAAAAATGTAGCGCAGAGGGGAGAGGTTTTTTTTTTTAACATATACCCTTAAAGCATCCTAAAACCAAAGAATCTGACTGATCTATGGAGAAAATGACAACATTCCTATTAATAGCAATGGAAAAACCGCATCGGGCCTCTGCCCCTCTTTTATAACTGTTTTTGTGCCAATTTCAAGTTTTTTGACGGGCTAGAGTTGAGAAGCTGGAAACATCCTTCCGAAGCTGTATACATTGTCTTACTCAAAATAATACGAAATGGGAATCCGTTTCAGTTTCTGATCCCCCCTCAGTGAAGCCACTCAAAATAATGTGTTTACATTAGAGGCTATCTGCAGTCTATTTGAAGCAATCTGTCTATATGAAATCTACATGCGTTTTGGGTTTGCGCTGTTATAGAGGTTTTATTGTGGGAGTCTGGCCTGGCGGTAGGAAATAATTTATAATAAAAACAGCGAACCCCTGTTGTGTCTATTCCATACACTGAGGTTATAAAATTGGCAGTTGCCCAGTTGTTAGCACTTGTTAAGGTATTAGGATATCCGATCTTATTGTTCAGCAGCCCCAGACGATTTAAATATTCCCCCAACTCCAATGGGTTGATTCTCCAGACATGTTGCAAATAAATAGGGTTTTATGATTTAACCGGCATGTATTATAAGTACCTAAATAGCTGGCATATTTGTGTAGTAGAACCTATTACTTGCAAAATTGGTTTTGCAATTGATTGACTGGCAATGCGATATTGCAAAGGAGAATCTGCTGTACAGGGGTGTGTAATCAATTAGTCTTCTCTGTAAAATATGCCCCCTAGACTACCACCAGCAAATCTAGAATTTAGGAATACACGTTCTATAAGGAAACGAGGCTGCAGTGATTCCAAAAGAAAGCAGCGGTAGCAGCTGTCAGCTCTTATTAACTCGTGCATAAAACATACCTTAAGTATGGTTTGTTATCAATTACTTGCAGAAATGAAACAACTGGGAAAATGCTGCGACGCCGTCTATAAATTAAAGTGATTGGTTGATTGATTAGAGCACCTGCTGTCAATCATAACAGTTACACACAATTATGAACAAGCTATTTAAGTTGATTTGTAAACAAAATTCATACCAGGAGGGAATTGCTTTCATTTTTAGTTTAGCAAAATAAGTGTTTGTTCCTAATTGTGTCTGTTTGGTGTTATAAGAATTAGAATGTTATAAATCCTTCGGTTTTTTCCTAAAGCAATCTTATTTGTTACTCAGAGAAATTAACTACTTTGTCTGGTACTAGTTAAGGGGCAAACTTTTAAAAAGAAATCTCCTGGTGTATTTTTGTTGCTGTAGTCAGACCAGTTTTATTTAGAAACTGAATAGTCCCACTTTTTTCTGTTTGTTATATAATATGCTAAACAATCTGATACCAGACTATTTTCTAATGCACCTTTTTTTGGGGGGGGGAGAATAACTGTGCTAATCATGTGGCACAAAAGGGAAGGAGGGATAGCTCAGTGGTTTGAGCATTGGCCTGTTAAACCCAGGGTTGTGAGTTCAATCCTTGAGGAGACCACTTAGGGATCTAGGGCAAAAACAGTACTTGGTCCTGCTAGTGAAGGCAGGGGGCTGGACTCAATGACCTTTCAAGGTCCCTTCCAGTTCTAGGAGATAGGATATCTCCATTAAAATAAACTATCTTATTAAAAGCCCAAAACAACAATAAAGTAATCCTTTCCTTGCTAAATTTTGTAGTCCTGATTCTCACTTAAACCAGTAACTCCTTTGACTTCATTAGATTTTTCCTAGTTGTTATCATTGTTAGTAATAGAAGTATTAGGAAGAGGAGTATTTAATATTCTTGTAACCCAGCAATGTGCCCTGCGCTGTCCATTATACAAGAAGATATAGCTCCTGCATTGCAGGGCTTACAAACAAATAATTTAGGAAGAAATACACTTAAAATACATTTATAATATACATCGTTTTTTTTTTAAATTATCAAACCAATATACATCAGCTGTATTCCACTGCACCTCTACCTATCCATCACCCATCCAGGTCAATTTCCTGTAGACTCAAGGCAACGGTGACTCTTATTGGTGTAGCTACTAGGAAACTCTGGGCCTATGAATTCACTTTTCTTCAGATGTGCTATGGATGTCAGACTAGCCAGTTTGGACAGTTTGTACTCTTATGTGTCATCATGTTACATACCTCCACACTCACCCCTTCTTTCTCTCTCCAGTTCCAGTTCCTCCAAAATCTGTTACTTCTCTGATGATGAATAAAGATGGCTTCCTGGGTGGAATGTCAGTCAATACCGGAGAGGTGTTTTGCTCAGTACCTGGCCGCTTGTCCTTGCTCAGTTCCACTTCAAAGTATAAAGTAACCGTGGGAGAAGTTCAAAGACGCCTCTCGCCTCCAGAGTGTCTGAATGCATCCCTTCTAGGAGGAGTACTTAGAAGGTAAGGGCTTGCAGCAAGTGTGGGTATTTACGTAGACACACACATAGACTAAGCATTTTGTCTAAAGTCTATACTATGGTAAAGATATTTGCAAATATGTGTTGTTTTTATGTTGTAGTTGTGTGTGTAGAACTCAAGGCAAGGCAAAAATAAGCAGCAACATGAAAACATGGAAATGAATGCATAAAGTTACATTAGTGTACAAGACTCTGAGAAGGCAGCTCATAGTAAGGTCAATAAGGGATCTCTCTCTCTCACACACACACTTTACTTCCCAACTCTCTCTTACATACACATTAATCTACTCAAACATACATTTTAGAGGAAGGCTTCTATTTAAATAAAAGGTCTTCTCTATGAATACAGGAGTTATAGGTCAGACAGCTTAGCTACTGTGATTTTTCCCTGTAAAAGAAACAGAGATTTAAAACAAAGGAACTTTATTTATTTACGTATTTACTTATTTATTTATTTATATTAGTTAGGAAGTTTTAAGAAGTTTACAAATCCTTGCCAATTAAATATCAGAAACAAAGCAATCATTACAGTAGCTAGCTTTTGTTTAAAGAGGCATTATGCAAGAATATAGTCATCGGATATTTCTATTTTATAGGTGTTACTATATTACAGAGTGAGCATCATTACACCTACAAAATGTCCTTTCTAGTGAGTTTATTGAATTTAGTGACATCTCTGTATACACATATTTAAGGACCAGGCATGTCTATTAAATGCTAATATTAAAAAAAAGGACATGGTGTGATGGGTTTTTTTCAGGTGAATTTACTTTATCTGATATTGACCAAAAAGTAACCAAATATCTAAGTATCTATTTGTCCTCTGTCTAATTTGCTGGGTACATAACTGGTGTGTTAATTTTTTCCATATCAACAGCCTCCCATAGTTTTTGAACCATTCCTCTAGGGTTGGACTAATTTTCCTTTTCTAACGAGAAGCTACCAATAGTCCAACATCTACTAGAAGATGAGAGATTATTAATTCTTCATTCCCTCTTGTGTGTGACCATTTCCACTGGGAAGCCCTTGAAGGATTACCAAAAGATTATTTGGTGATAAATATCCAACAATTTGTGATATTTAGTTACAGGTTTTATCCCGATACTTTCTAATGACTGGACATGTCCACCATATATACATAAAATCTCCACTTTAACCCCAATTTCTCCAACATTTATCCCCATTTTACATACACATACCCACTAGATAGATAGATAGATAGATATGTTATTTAAGGTACTGTTTCAGTGCTACCTCGCACCAGTCAGGTTAATGTGAATATATTAAAGAACATTTATTTTATTGTAATATAGACAGGTTGCTGGACCTCCTTCCCATAGCAAATCCCAGTCCTCTGTGGTGATTTGTCTGCCCATGTCCTTCTCCCAGAGTGTCATATGTGGACATATTGTTAGGAAAGAAGAAGCCAGGTTTTTTACTTACAGATGCGAATCTGCCTGTGCATTGTAATAGAAAGTGGCGCAAAGAGAACATCTGCAAGAGCAATTTCAAACAGAAAATATAACTAGCAAGGTTAAACACATACACCATTATTGAGCCTCAGTGATTTCTGGAGAAGACCCAGGACCCAAACAGTGGACTATGCTGACTTTACTTTGTATCTTGAGTCTAAATTTTAGAGAAGCTTTTGGTTCAATATCTATATTTCAGAGCATGTGAAATATAGATGGCTGCTCTCTTGCAACTGTACCATTGGTTCCTATCTACTTTGGCACAAAATACTGACAGACCAGAATCTAGGTAGGGAGACTTTCTCTACAGGATTTGACTTCCTTTCATATTCCTTATATGCAATTAAAGAAGCTGTTAGTGATAAAAGATCTGGGGTGAAATCCTGGAGTGCTGAGGTCAATGGGAAAACTCCCATTGACTTCAATGGAGCCAGTATTTCACCCCGGATTTTAAACCATCTGTATAAAACTAGACCTGGCCCTAACAATAACTCTGCGTTTCCCATGTATATCACAATCTTCCTTTTAATGTATCTATCAATAATGTCCTATATAGATTCCATTAGGTGCTCTTAAGTATTCATGTCCCGTATATAATGTAGCTATTCCAATAGATAGTTCAACATTTCCTGTATAATATCTATTGAATTCTTCCTTAGGTGTTCTTATCAATTTCCCGTATATCTTCCATGCTTCCTCTAGGTACACCCTATCAGTTCATCCCATACTTCTGTCTTTCCACCTAGATATACAATCGTATCCTAATACGTCTTAGTCTTATACTGTAAGAACCAATTTGGTTTCTTCCATAACAGCAGCTTATACAGAAGTTATTTCATTCTGTGCATTTGTTTTCTGTTAAAGAGGGAGGGGGAACCTAGTCAGTTGTGTGTGGCAAAAATTAAGCAAACCTCAGCAAACTCTATCAGCAAGCGCGCACACACACAATGTGCTAACCTCAAGTTAAAACCCCTTCAAGCTCCAGTGGTCTTTAGATTGCACAGTCTAAAAGTTTGTTTCAGGGACATTCCGAGGTTAATCAGAATGTTAATTTCTTTGCAATTCCAGAGCCAAATCGAAAAATGGGGGGAGATCGTTGAGAGAGAGGCTAGAAAAAATCGGTTTGAATTTACCAGCCGGCAGGCGTAAGGCAGCAAATGTCACTTTACTCACCTCCCTGGTGGAAGGTAAGCGGTGAATTGCAAGCTCGCTTCACACTATTGGCTGCTCCGAAGTCTTTTCGGTTTGGGAGTTTGACATTTTGCAAAGTTTCATGGATTAAGTGGAAATCGTTGCAGCGGTGGCATTAAGATCTGTTTAACATGCATAATACTGGGTGAAATTAAGACTTTAAGGATCCCATTTAAGTCACTCTGAAGTCACTGATCAAACTCCCATTAACTCCAATGGGTGTCTTGAATTCAGGTTTGCCTCAGTGAGATCTGCAGAATCAAACTTTCTCTGCGGTTATCCAAATATTCCCATTCCCTACTCTTGTGGATTTCCAGGTTGTTCCCTTTGAATAATGGTCTAAATCCAGTGGTTCTCAAACTTTAGTATTGGTGACCTCTTTCACACAGCAAGCCTCTGAGTGTGACCCCACCCCCCCATACATTAAAAACACTTTTTTGTATTTAACACTATTATAAATGCTGGAGGTGAAGCGGGCTTTGGGGTGGAGGCTGACAGCTCCCGACCCCCCAAGTAATAATCTCACGACCCCCAGTTTGAGAACCCCTGGTCTAGTCTGTGCTGGGTCCAGAATTTTAGCTAATTCATAACTTCCAACCTTAATTATGACAGATGCACATTACAATACGGCCATTGAACGGAAATAATAAAGAACTATTTTTTTTTAATTTCGGCAAGGGAAAGCAGTTATTACAAATTAACAGTTATAAGTACAGTTTACCTGAGGGTGACAGTTTAACAAAGAAACAAGCGAGCCCTTTCTTTAAGAAGAAGGGGAGGGGCGGGGGGAATACAAGAAAGAAACAAAAGGAAAAAAAACGGAATACTCGAGTTATACCTCCTCTTAAATGAACAAACGCTATTCCGTACTTGACGTGATGCTCTGATGTTGGCACTGTATTGAAATGTGGAATCCACAAGCCTCTCACTTGTTTTTTTTAGGAAATACTATATTTATTCTGGGGTAAAGTGGCTCTTCAGAAATTATAACTAACAATTATGTGGATGTAATTATGAATTATATGTATTTATATTATACATACACAAAGAGGCGAGTAACATTCAATATGTACAATAACACACTATGTCGTATCTCATATGCATGTGCCTATAGTTTTGTACTATATATTAACTTTTACATTCTTCTGATTTAATTATAAATGCAATACATAGTTACACACTCATATGTGAAATCAAAATCAAGACTATATTCGTTCTAGTTATAAGTATTGTTTCTATTTTGACGATATAGTATATCTATATATTCATAAATCATAGTACATTACATGAAAATGCCTATCAAACTATGAATGCATAGTTAAAGACACTATATATAAACATTTACCATGTGAGAAAATACATTCATCATCTGATATGCATATTCATATATATTAATTAATACATAGTTTCAAACACACACCCCAAGCACACCCCATACCTATATCTATGCAGTGTGTGTGTAAAACTATGCATTCACATTAATAGCAAAATCAGAACATCTTAAAAGTTGACACATAGCACAAATATATGTGCAGATCCATATGTTTGTGTGTGTGTGTGCAAATACATTATATATGGATATAAAACTATACAACGTTTACATCATTATATATTATGTTACTGTCCTCTGATTTACTTACAAATCAACAATTTACCTTAAAAGATTTCCCTTCTCCTATAGAAAGTTGCACCTGCTCTAGATTTATCTTGTTTTCTGACAATAGGATTTTTTTCTTGTTAAATTATGTTGCCTATAGCATAAATGTTTCACTCATCTCTGGCCAGGATTAACAAAAAGCAGGGAGGATGGTGTCTCTGCACATCATTTAGTGGGGGAGGAGGGGGGAGGGGAGATAACCGTCCATTGGAATTCTAGCATTTGGCGGACAGTGTGATTCATCTTTTTGGTGATTATTGAGAAGGCTTTTTTTAAAAAATGACGTTTTAAAGTAAGTCCTGATCGTTAAAAATAATGTGGTACTAGAATTATTAGACATAGCTGGTTTGCGTGTTAGAAATCTTCCTCGTGGTCCTCCGGGCGGTGCTTTAAAGAGTTTAATGCTTTATTCTAGAGGGGTTGAGCTATAATCTGATGGAATCCCCCTAGAGTCTGTTTCCCCACACCCCCTTTCTTCAGCTACTGTGTCGTCTTCTTCTTGTGGTAGAAAGTACATCAGTAGGAGTTTGATGACACGAACCTCTGGAGGGTAGAAACCTGAAGCCAGGCAGGCAGAGGAAATGCCAATTAGAATGATAGTTAGAATAATTATTATTTTCCATATGAAAGGTCCCCCTTCATTGGGATTTTTTTTTTTTGGTAGGGTGAGGGTGGAATGGGTAGCTTCTGTTGCATTGTGATCAGACCTATGCAAAACTTCACTTTCCATTGGATACAATGCAGTTGGCTGCTTTGTTTTCCAGATGTGGCTATAATAATGTATGTGTGTGTAACACTCACGGGATATGATATTCTATGGTAGAGCTTTTGTGACACTTTTCTGATCTATGAAAATACAAACCTATCCTGCACATTTAAAGTCCGGGTCCATTTACCTATCAGGACGTCTCTTTTGTTTTCACACACTTGAAAGTCTATATTACCTATGTATTAATAACACACTTTTTCTCTGCACGTGGGACTAGAACCGCAACCAGTGTAAATCACCAAACTCAACTGAAGTCAATAGGGCTAAGACAATACATGCCATGTGAAGACTCCTTCAGCCAAAAACTGGGGATGTGCTCTGCAGAAAGAGACTGATACAAGAATAATGGGCTCCTACACCCATGGAACCGTCTTTGTCATTGAATTCAGTTGGGGTTGTGCCTCTCCAGTGCCAAATTGAGCTGATCTTTTCAAAGCGCGACCAGTACCACCAGCAATAACGTGTTTCAGTATACTCCAGCCGGCTCGGTTGAACCATTTTTCTGGTCAGCCTCCTCACTAAACAACCATGCTGGCCTGTGATGATCAAAGGCTGTTCATTTCTCTTCAGGTGAAGCTGTTCACTTAGCTCGGGATTTTGGATACATCTGTGAAACGGAGTTTCCAGCCAAAGCTGTTTCCGAGTACCTGAACAGACAGCACACGGACCCCAGCGATCTCCACTCCAGGAAGAACATGTTACTGGCTACAAAGTGAGTCCACAGCCCGCTTTGCTTTCAGGGCCGCCACTTGGAGAGTTTGACATTCATTCTCCTCCACGCGGCCATTCTCGCTAGCGCTCTGCAAAGGAGCCCAGCAGCGCTTTCTCCAATAGGCTTTGTTCCGATCTCCCTCTCTTGTGCTCTTCTCTCTCCCTGTCGTCCGTCATTGTGCGGTGGGTGTGTGGGGGAGAGGTTGTGCTCTGGGTGTGTTCCTGTCCGTGGGTCTGATTGTAGTGTATGGTGAACCTGTAACACTACGTGCCCGTGCGTATCGTTGGAGCTGTAACAGCGTCTTTGGAGCTGTGTGCGCATGAAACACACTGTGGTTTGACTCCTTCTCTCTGTGTGACTGTGCACGTGTCCCCATGTTTGTGTCTATTTCTCTCCCCTCCCCCCCCCCCCCCCCCCCCCCCCCCCCGCCTGTTTTGAGTCTCCGTGTTTCTTTCTTTCCTTGTGTATGAGTTTGCAGCGCTCTCTCTCCTCTTGTTTGTTTTTGGGTGTGCATTCCTCTCTTTCTCTGTTTGTGTATTTCACGCTTCTCTCTGTGTAGGAGTGGCTAGGCCTTGCCTCCACTCCCACTGAAGTCAAAGGAAAAACTCACCTTGATTTCAAGAGCGAGCGGCCGTGTCTATCAAAGACCCCGACCAAATAATTTACAATCTCCCCTCCCCAAAATGTGTACCGTTAATCACCTTGAGAAATGTGCAGCTGCAACTCCAGAGGGGGACCTTGTAAACCTGCCACTACATCTAGGTCTATGGAACTTTTACAGGAGCTTTTTCTATTTGGTTTGATTTACTCCTGTCGTTGGCTCTCGCGCTATATGGTTTGGTGTTTTAAGGGCAGATCAGGTTTTCGGTGGTGAGCTCTGAGTGTGTCCCACATATTAACTCTGTCGCAGGCAAGACCCAAGCTATTTAGTGCTCTGGGTCGTCGCTTGCTCCGCTGACAGCACAATTTAAAGAAATATATGGAGGCGTGGAAAATCGTTTGCTCAAATTTGTCCAGATGTTTTTTTTAGACGTGATTGGAATTTGATTGCCCTTTTCCGCGGGGTCAAAAGATATTAATGTCCCAGAACTTTAATTGCTCGCAGACCTGCCTTGCTCTTTGAAGCTTTAAAGGGTTTGACTCATTACCGTTTGCTCTGCAAACTCAAAGTTTCCTCTTTTGCACTTTCCTAGTGGATAAGACTTTTATCTTTCCCCACCCCCTGAACTCTTTAACCCATCGGGAATTTCAGAGGATCACAGATGAACTCTTCTCTCCTACCTCAATGTTGCTATTCTTTGTGGGGGAGGGAGGATTATCATTTCCCCTCTGGGTTTCTATTTCGCCCTGGGATGATGCACCTGTTTAACTGGGGGCCTTGTGAGTGGGGTGAAGGGAGGTTTAGCCCTAGGAAGCCACTAAATGAAAAGGGAAGGATTCAATTTTCATCCTCCAAGGTGGCAAAGGAGCTGTTTTAAAGATAAACCAGCACCAAACGTCAACCCCCCTGCTTTGAAGCGGTGCTCCCCCAAAGGTGGCTTGTGTTCTTTTCATCCCGGCAAGAGTAGAGCAGCAACCCGTCACTGGTGTCTGTTCATCGCCCCGGGCAAAAGCTGTCGCTTAGACCTTCCCTCCCGTTTGCTGCACTAGCAGAGCGGTACCTGGTGGCTAGCGCTCCCTTTGGGCTCGTGGAGCGCGCGGTGGTGCTGGCCTGGCGCACGCCGGTAGGGCTCCCGAGCTTTTACAAACAAACGCCACCGGGCGGACTGGAAAGAAGAGCGAGACAGATTCCAGGAGTAGCCGATACAGCGAGACCTGATTTTAAAAGGAACTAGCCTGAGTCAGATGATCATGGGGACTCTTCCTCCCCCCCCCCCTTATTGTAGTATATAAAATACCCTACTCGGCACAGAATCTGTACAATGCTGCCCATGTGCAAGACGGCCTGGAAGCATCTACAGACTATGACCGAATGTGTGGACATGACAGGCCAAGATTTTCAAAAGGGATGTTGGAGTCTCAAGTTGAGGATGTCTCAAAGGGGCCTGGTGTCCAGAAGGGGAGTGTTCGGGGCTCTCTGAAAACAGAGGCACCCAAACTCTCTGGTCACTGTTGCAACTCTTGGCTTACATCATTGAACAACCTCCCTCCCCTCCCCCCATGGGAAGAGTTCATTCAGGATTCATGGGAAGAGAAAGACCTGACTACATTTGGTATTCAGCAATCCTACTTAGCAGTCATCCCAATGCGTCATTTACAGGCAATTGGTGGTATTGCCTTCACATGAAGGCCAGGTAGTATTCATCTCTGAGAAAATAATAACAATAACAATAATCATAATAAATAATAATATAATTGATACCAGGATCAAGCTCCAGATAGCAGTTTTCTATCTATCTATCATTTAGGGCAATCTGGCTAATTCTAAAGGCAATAAATAGACTAAATAGAACATTTTAAAAAAAAAGATAGATGGCATTTCAGAAGCATCTTTCTGGCCCAAGAATAAAAAGTCTCTAGGTCAGAGAGGAAGAGGTGTAATTGAAAGAGTAGGATTAACTCTACTAGGAATCCTTCTTCTCTTTACTGATCAAACTCTGTAAGGAAATAGCCAGGCAAGGGCCTATTCTTGCAGTCCTCCTGCTCCCTTGGACAATGGGGGAGTTGTGGAGGGGTAAGGAGTGCAGCATCAGGTCACGAAATCAGGATCCTTCTGTTTGTTGTTGGAGGGAAGGTGGGAGTAAGGAGCCTTGAGTTCTGTATCTAACTTCACTACTGATTGTCTGTGGTGCCTTTGTTTGAGTCTTTCATTGACTTCAGTAGGCTTTGGGCCAGGCCCTCAGCCTCCTTGCACTCTAGTTTATTTATGTGTAAAATGACTATAGTACATTTTCCTAGTGTGTGTGTGGTTGGGGGAAGATGGAATGAGAGGGGCAGCTGCCTGTCTTTGTAACTTAATGCATGTCAAACACCTTGGAAGTCTCAGGCTGTGTATAAAGTGTTAATCAAAGAGAAGTGAAGTGACTGACTACTCTGGGCTCTCTCTCTCTCTCTCTCTCTCTCTCCCCTTCTCTTCACTACCCTTGCAGGCAACTTTGTAAAGAATTCACGGATCTCTTGGCCCAGGACAGGACACCCATTGGCAACAGCAGACCCAGCCCTATTTTGGAACCAGGCATTCAGAGCTGCTTGACTCACTTCAGCCTCATCACCCATGGCTTTGGGGCCCCAGCCATCTGTGCTGCCCTCACAGCCCTCCAAAACTACCTGACTGAAGCTCTCAAAGGCATGGACAAGATGTTCTTGAACAACAACACTGCTAACAGGCACACATCTGGGGAAGGACCAGGTAGTAAAACTGGAGACAAGGAAGAGAAACACAGAAAATGAAAAAAAAAGGAGAAAAATAAATAAATAAAAGAGAGAGAGAGAATCTTTTAAAACAAACAAAACAGTTTTAATTTTAGCTTTAAAATATTGGATTGGGATTTGGAAGAATTATATTAGGTAGGACAAAAATAATAATAAAAAAGAAAGACAATAACTTAAGATCAGAGGCGCACAATGGAGCAAGAACAGTGGCTCAATGTCTCTTACACGGAACATTTGAAGACAACCACCAGGATTTTTCCACTTCTGTTCTCACTTTTTTTAAACGATTTTTTGGGAGGGAGGGGGCGAAATAAAATAATAATAATAAAAGGAAGAAATGAATAACTTATTGGAAGAAATCAGAGAAACGCTTTGGTGTCAGTGCGTTGGTTTCTTGTTTGGGCTCAAATGTACAGTCTATTTTTTTTTAATCCAACAGTGTCCTGTGTCTACACTAGGGAAAACAAAAAAATCTTCCAGTAATATTATCTGGGACATTTCCATTCCTAGCATCAGCACCCCTCACTTCCAACCCTGCCCTTATCTGACCTTGCTCCTCTGGATCTATATAGACTAGAAAAGGGGCTGGTTTGGGTAGCAAAGGCTACACTATGACTTGCTAATAGAATTGTAAATGTATTAAACTGTTTCTACATTAATTACAGTGTCTACATTAATTACAGTACATTGGGTGTTTCAAGTCATATTAGCTCAATCCAGTTAACTAACTCGATTTTTAAAAGGCACCCTTTTTTCCTGGTCTAGACAGACCCTCTGTTTAGATTACCAGTGTTTACAGCTATATATGTATAATTTGGTATTTAGCATTGATGGCAAAACTGCATTGACTCTTAGGGTGCAAAATTTGAAAATAAGGTCCAGTAAGATGTTAATGCTGTTTAAAACTCCTAATCTTATATTTAAGGTATCCTAATTTCCTCTAAAGGGTTTATATTCCCAACAATGCCAGTGTCTCTATGTTTAATTTGTTCTAATAGTGTGGGTGTATTGAGAGAGATCTACCCATTTTTTCTTAAAGAAGTGCTAGTAACAAAAATTGAGTATGTAATTCCTTCTCAGGAGTATGCACTATTTTATTTTCTTCTGTTTCCCAAAGCTTTGCCCGCTTGGCTTATGAGCTTCTTCAAAGAGGACTAGAGCTCCCTACACAATATATCAGGTACAGAGAAAAATAATCCACGATTCTAATACTTTTTTTTTCTTAAATCAAAGCCAGTGGTTTCAGAATTCTGCAGGTGTACTTCTTTAAAGAAGCTCAAAGGGAATAATTGAAACCAGATTAAAAATAACTGAAATCGAGATGTAATATTAAGAAGAAGAATACCGTTTTGTCGAAGGGTTGTTGCAAACACTTGCTTGGGCATTAGTGTTTGATACACAAAGCGAAAGGAGTTGCTAAATGCAATTGTGTGGGTGCCTACTAGGGACGGGTTGGGATTGCAGGAGAATGTCCTGAATGACTATCTCACTCTGAGGAAATCTATTTCTCTCTAGAAAGTTAAGATGTTTCTGTGACTCTTGTTTTAGAACAAATGCAATAGGAGGAAAAAATAGCACCGATGTTGTGGGGTTTGTTTGTTTTTGTTTTGCAGTAATTGGGTTCATTACATGATGTTTTATGACTAATATACATTTTAAAGACATGCCCTTTTATGGCATATATGGGAAATAATACTTCTGCTTAAGGAGATGAATTTCAGCTTGGATTGTTCAGTCTTGGATAATTGTATTTATTCAGTGGGGTAGAGATTCATGCATTAAGGAATCCGTTCACATGTCAGAAAAGCTACTGTCGCTGGGTGAAATCTTGGCTCCATTTAAGATAATGGCAAAGCTCCCATTGACTTCAATGGGGCCAGGATGTCACCCTCTGTTTCAACTTGAGATCAGATACTGAATTCATTGTGTCTCAGGCAGGTCTGAAATCCCAAAGAGAAGAAAGTCAAACCTCTGGACGTGGTCTTTATTTTCTAAATAACGGCAAGGGGAGGGGCTGAATTTCGTTTAAAACTATTGCCCCTTTCTCCATTTCCCCAACAATTATTTCTTAAAACAAATAAACGAACATGCCTTTCGCTTCCCAGACCCACCCTCACATGCTTAGCTACGAATACCACACTTCCTAAATACTTACATTTGATATCCTCTTTGGCTTTCCTACCCTTGCTGCGGTTAATATAGAGGATTATCTTCAAGCAGTAAGAGGAGAAATGTATCTTGCGTTTCAAACCAGGGACTGGAGCATGCATAAAACCAACCCTACTGACCTTAATTTACAGGATATCCCCATTCCAGCCAATGGGAATATTAATCCCGTCCAATTTAGCCCTAATTCAATCCTAATTTAAATCTCAGGCGACAAACATTATTATCCCCATTCTACAGAAAGGGTAAACTGAGGCTCAAAAAGGTTAAGTGTCTTGTCCAAAGGCTCACAGCAAATCAGAGACAGGATTAGAACCTAGGAGTTCCCAGCTATGGCTGAGAGGCAGAGCCAGGTCACTGAGATCTTTGGTTCTTATTGTTCACACAGCATTTGAACAGCTGGGACCAAATCCTTCCCAGTAGTGCCCTTAATTTCACCGGGACACTCCTGTAAGAGAAGTCAGCGGGCTTTAGCCTATGGACATCATAATTCAGTCTCCTTACAAGACAGCCTACCCACCGCCTCCGTGATGTGGGGGGAAACACTTGAGTGGAAATTAATCACAACATTCCTTGCAAGGCAAGTCTCTCTTTTCTGTCCGTTAGAGGCAGTTGTGTTTCTGGAAACCAATCACCAACTAGTGCATGCAGCAGAAGCTGGTCCATGTAAAGAGCATTTACCATGTGCCAAACAGGCATAGCTAAAAACTCTCCAAGGCGCAGCAGCCGAAGTGGGCTTATTGAACACAAAAGGCGTTGTTGTATTGAACACAAATGGCTATCATTGCTTAATATTTATGAAATAGCTCCCAGAAGCCCCAAACATCACCAGGTCCCAATCTGTACAAATAGATATGAAGACACAGTTCCTGCCCCAAAGAGTTTACAGTTCAACTTCTCTATGTTGTAGCCTATCTGAAAAGTGTAAGCCATTTGCAAGAATTTTGGAGCAGATACACTAGAAACGCACTATAAGAGCCCGATCTCGCCCTTGCTGAAATCAATGGTAAAACTCCCTTTGAGTCTGGTGGGAGCAGGATCGGTCCCGTAAGATTTGATCCAAACCCAGTGAAGTCAACAGGAGTTTAAGTCAACAGACTTTGGATTAGTCTCCAATTAAACATATCTAGGGGGTAGAAAGAGTCAGCAACAACCTGCTCTCTCTTTGCTCGGGCAAACAACCCCTTGATTTCAGTGGACCATTTCCCCACCCCCTCATGCTGGTAATGAGAGAAAGCTCGTGGACTTTTCTAAATTGCAAAAACATGGCATGGGTTTAAAACCTAATTGATTCCCCCATAATCTAATATTTGGCAACTGGTAGCAGGCGTCCATTACTGATTATTATAACTTTGTTGAACAATTTATCCCTCTAAACGCATAATTCAGCCTCCTTCTCTCAAACTATCACTAAAGTATAACTTAATTGCAAGGCATTACCCAGTCTTTTTGCACTTCCCCAGACTAGGCACCTTTGACGTTTATCTGATAATTGAGTTATTAAAAGATTTGGTTTCCTCGGGATCATAAATCAATAAACAGGAGGATTAACATGACAGCTTTGCTTTTAACTCAAGGGAAACGTTTAAGGAGAGACCTTGAAAAGTTTGTTTTAAAACCAAACAGGTGGGTTACTGTAAATTTAATTTCACCCTTAAACAATTTGTTTAATATATACATGTAGATCCCATGTTAAACAACTCAGCTCCTGTGCAACCTGCAGCTTTTCTGATAAGCCACATGGTTATTAACACGAGATATAAAAGAATCCGGAGGCTAGTTTTATGTCACGTAGGATGGGGAAAAACCTGGGAATTTAATTAATATTGGGCCATATCATGTCACCAGAAGTCTCTATTGAACCAAAATCTGATAGCGCAATAAGGTCCATGACCAGAGATTAGTCAGGCAATTAAATGTACCTGTGTGTCTATATATTTAAATAATTACCGTCTTGTATCTTGAACAAATTCTGTAACAAAATACCTTGAGCTTGGTTTTTTTTTAGTTCTGCAGCCCTGAAATATGCTCACGAATTTGAAAACGACAGAGCTGTTAAGACTAAAAGTTACCCTGCTCATGTTTTCTGAAAAGCTTTGCTTAGATTCTTATTTTGTACCATTTTAATCTTTTGTTAATTGGGGGGAAAAAACCACTAGCTTACTTCGATCCAGTAATGGTCCTAAAGATCGCCAGAGCTACTGAAAAAGTAGTTTTCTGTTACCCTGTTATCCAACAAAATACTCCTTCTGACTTAAAGGGACACAATTATTTTTTTTTTCTATTTTCTTATACCAATGTAAAAGAAAACATTATAAAAAACCCCACATTTTAGAAATATCTGACGGTACAAAAGAGCCTATCTATCGTAACCCCTTGTGTGCCAAAGTATGTCTACACGTTATAAAAATAAAAATAAAAAACACAAACAAAAATAACTATAAACATTAACATAAACACTGAAAACGTGGGAACTGATACCACCCTCCTTTCTATGCCAAAATTGATTCCTTTTTTGGATCACCTTGAATAGTGAGAAATATCAGCTGAGCGACTCTTCCTAAAAAAAGAAATGCGGAGGGGCATTCAATGTTAAGTTTGTACATATTTATTTATGCTTAATTTAACGGGAATGTGTAAATATGGCGAGCAAGTAGTTTTGAGTTATTTATCTGTGAATCTATACCTCTGTGAATGGGTGGGGGGATTTAAAAACAAAAAAAGAAAAAAAGAAAAAAGAAAAAAAGAGAGAAAAAAACCGCTTGACACTAGATAGTATCCTATCTGAATTTTTTTTTCTGTTCTTTATAGACAAGCTGTTATGGTAATGGGTAGAAATTGGTTTCTTGTCC